TACCATGCTCCCAATATCCACCGCTTAGGGTGGGCGTCTGGAGGCTTGGACACCCCCATCCTGTGCTGGAGTGCCTGGTTCAGGTCTGGGCTACTCTACTTCCAATCCAGCTTCCTGCTAATGGGTACCTGAGAGCAGCAGGTGATGATTCAGTATTTGGGTACCTGCCACCCACGTGGGAGACCCAGAGGGAATTATGGGATCCCAGCTTTGTCCTGGCCTAGCCCTGGCTGTGGGGGGCATTTGGGAAGGGATCTTTGTGTCTCTCTCTGCCTTTCAAATAAACAAACTTTTCAAAAGATTTTATTTCTTTGAAAGGCAGAATTGCAGAGAGAAGGGAGAGAGAGAGAGAGAGAGAGAGAGAGAGAGAGATCTTCCATCTGCTGATTTGCTTCCCAAAATGGTTGCAACGACTGGGGCTGGGCCAGGCTGAAGCCAGGAGCCTCTTCCAGGTCTCCCACGTGGGTGCAAGGGCCCAAGCACTTTAGGCCACCTTGGCTGCTTTCCCAGGCTGCAGGTGGTGGCTTTACCTGCTGCACCACAGCACCGGCCTCACAAACATTTTGACAAGTGTTCATTGGTTGATTTCTTCCTGGCTTTCGCTCTTCTCCCTCTCACCATTCTCTGTGCACAGCCTTCCTACACCACCAGCTCTGCCTTAGGGGATCGCTTTGCATCTGCCTTTCAGGTGTGGCTCTTTGCGGTTGTGCAGTGGAAGCTGAGATGAGGCTGGGTGAAATCTAACCAGGCCCTATCTAGGTGTTATCTCTCCAGGCCAACACCGCAGGAACAGAGCCCAGACGCCGGACTGGCCACTTCCGTCCTATGTAGGGTCAGTGGCCACCAAGCTGCACGCTGAAGCCGCAGGCGCTCCCCGGGCCAAGTGCTCCCCCCACTTCTGCGGGACCCTAGGCCAATGCTACACCCCCCAACAGGAAGTTACAAGTGGATGAGACTCATGTTCCTTTCAGCAGCTTTCTCCTCCCATGGATCCCTGTGTCACAGACAGTGACCCTCATGCAGTGGGCCAGTAGCTCGCCTGTGTCCTGGGTGTCAGCCTGGGTGTGAGCCTGGGCTTCTCAGCCCTGAAGGCAGGTCACCTCCCTCCCCCCAGCATGCCAATGGGCTCCCTGCAGGCCTTCACCAAATGTGTGCACTGACAGCAACTTTTCCCAGAAGGCTATGGTGGGGGAAGAGGGGTGGAGCAGAGAGGAGTGGGAAGAAAGGAGAAATAGTTATTGATTTATTTTTAAAGATTTAAGATTTAATCGAATCCAGGTTCACTCCCCAAATGACCTCAGTGGCTGGGGTTTGGCCAGGCTAAAGCCAGGAGCCTGGAACTCCATTTGGGTCTTCCACATGGGTGGCAGGGGCTAAGTACTTGGGCCACCTTGTGCTGGATCATAAGCAGAGCAGCCGAGACTCAAACCAGCACTGCTCAGGGGTCCTTCTCGTGGGTCCAAAAGGCTCTGTGACAAAGAGGGGACCCAGCCATCACTGAGCACTTTGCAGGGACACAGCCAGCTTTGATGCCTTATCCTCATTGGCTCCCACAATGCCAATGAGGTTGCTGAGTGAGCGGCCCGAGGGTCACCCATTTGGAGGTTAAGGTTATGGAGCCAGGATCCACGATTCAGGCTGCCTGGAGAGCCTGTTCTCCCCACTGCTCAGGCACCCAGCCCCGAGCGAGGCAGGTGCTCTCCAGGGATGGTGCCCGTTCTGCGCATCCTCAGCCTCTCGTCACCTCTGGAGGTGTGACGAGAAGCAAGTGCAAAGCCTGGGCCCAGACAATTCCATTCTCATTTCCTTCGCAGGTGGCGCGCCCGTCACGGTGTGCAAAGCCAGTGCTGACAGCAAGGTAAGCCCAGGGGAATCTGCTGAATGGAGATACTCCAGCACTATTACTCACAGTTTAGTAAACCCAGGAAACCGTCCAGATGTTAAAGCGTAAAAATAACTCACTGCCCGGCCCATGAGGCCTACATGGTAAGATGGAAAAACCAATCAAGAGGAACAGGCTGGCTGGAGGCGGCAGCTCCTGGCTCCCAGGCAAGTAACCTGCCTGGGGCACCCACCCTGTTCACAGTTGGGGATGAGTCGCTTTTGAAGTCTCTGGGTGCCGACCCACCCCCCGGGGGCCAGGGGAGGGAGGCCATGGCAGCATGAAGCCTCCGAGTTGCCCTACAGGATGTGAATGTGTGAGCTTTCCTTCCACCGCTTGGCTCATAGGATGCTACATAAAACAAAATCCCACCTATCCACCTAGGTCCAATCAAGCCCCGCCTCCTGTGAGGCCCCTGGCATCTTGTAAACTCACCCTTAGCCAGCCCTGCCCCTTCCCTGTCCCAGTCCAGCAGCCTGCCTTGGCCTTCGCAGACTGCCAGGACCTTCGGGGTCCGCTCTCTTCTCTCTCACCTGGAGCCTCTGTGCCCCGGGGCCTTAGTCAGATGCTCACCCCATCTTTTGCCTTTGTTAGAAATCTTAGTAATTCCCACAAGTGCCACCTCCTCCAGGAAGACTGCCAAGGCTGCCTCCCTCCCCGTTCCATCCTCCATTCTGGCTGGCTGCTCCCTCAGGGGTTTCCATATCACTCTGTGCTTAGCCCTCAGTGAAGCTTTGTTGCATGGCCTCTGCTTCGCGGCTATGCTAGACCCAAGTCCCTGCGGACACGACTACCCGAGCGTATTCCCAGCCGTCCCTAGTCTGGGGAAAGTGCTCACCAGATTTCATTTGAATTAACTGATAAGTGATTTCTACAGCAGCTACACCGGGTAGGACAGGCCCTCTAGTGAGGCCGTAACGTCCTGGCTCAGGGAGCGCGCAGTATCTTAACACTTCTCCTAGAAACCTCTCTGTGTCAAGCTCAGGTCAGGTTTAACCCAAACATTGGTGATCTGGCTATGTGATTACTGAATCATCCAATGCCAACGATTCTCCCAGTTACCAAATTCCAGCCCTTAGCACGGCCAATGGAAAATTAATTGGTTGCAACGTGCATATCTAATGACCACGTCCCGCCCCTGCCTCGGAGCGGCTCCTGCGCTCGTGGTAACGCCTGCGTCTCAGTAACCTACGGCGGCGCTCAGCGCAACGTGGACAGCGCCACCGGGGCCAGCGCGCACACGCACCTCCCTCGTATCTGCCGCCGGGGCCGACGTTGCGCCTTAGGCACGTATGCCTCCCCTTCTCTAAAACCACACGTTTCCCGCAAGCCCGGACCGCTCTCGGTTCTCCCAGCGCAGAGGCCCGCGCCGGGGCCGAGAGGCGGATGGAGGCGCGCGGCGGCGGGCTCGGGCGCAGCTAGCCTGGGCAGTCCCCGCGTCCCCGCGCACCCGGCTCCCCCGGGCCCGCCATCCGGGAAAGAAAGGCGGACTACGTTTCCCGGCAGGCCTCCCGCCGCCCTCTTCCCTTTCAAGTCCGCGCACGTGGCCGGAGGGGAGGGCGGGGCCTGCACGTCACTCTCCCGCATTCCCTTTCCCGGTGTCAGAACTGGGATCGTTTTTTCCCTTCCTCTCCTCCCTCCCCTCGTCCGCCCCTCCCTCCCTCAGTCCCTTCCCTCCCGCCCCTCTCGGCCGGGTCCCTGCGCTGGGGCGCACCATCGCCTCGGCGGCCGGGGCGCGCCGAACCCGCGGCACAAGCCGGCTCTCCCGAGCCTCGCCGCTCCCTTCCCTCTCGCTGCCCCTTCCTCCACCCCCGGCTCGGGCTTGGCGCGGCGGCCCCCGGAACCCCGAGGTGAGCATCCCCCGCGTCCGTCCCCCTTTTGAGTCGGCTGCGCTTGCGATCGATTCGGGGACCGGGAGGGGAGGGCTGCGTGACGTGCGCATGCTTTCCGATAAATCCGGGAAAACCGCCCCAGACAATCGGCCCCCTTCCCCCTCCCGGCGCCCCGGCCCGCGGGGCGTCCGCCGCCGACCCCCGCACCACTCCGTGGGGGTCTGCGCTCCTCCGTCCCGCCCCCGCCCCTGCCCGGGCTTCGCTCCCCTCCCTGCAGCGATCCCCGCCCCGGGCTGGGGGGGGCCGTGGCCCTGAGGCTCGGACGCCGCGGGGGGCTCTCGGGGGCGCGCGGCTGGAGCCCGACTCGCGTCGGAGCGGCGCGGTGTAGCTGCTGTCATGTGCCGGGTTCCGACCCGGGGAGGAAGGGAGCGAACGTGGCTCTTCTCCCTTTTGTTGTGAAGCCGGCGTTTGCTGCATCGAGCAGTTGGTTCAGCACTGGCCAAACTTGCAGCTGTTCGGCCGCGCTCGGGCGAGGTAGGGAGCGCCGCCTGGGGCCAGGGCCGCCCGAGGGCCTCGGAGACGGCGTCCCCACCCGCCCCGCCGCCCGGCCACCGGCTGCCCGCGTGTGCGTGCGCGCTCGGCGGTCTGTGGACGGCTGGCTGCCGTCTAGACAGCCTGTGGCCCCCTCCCTCCGTCCCCGGGAGCCCCTGGGATGCGCGCGCGGGGGATGGGAGCGGGGGGACCCAGCCGAACTGGTGGATCCCGTGTGCTCGCCGCTTTGGCCATTCCCTGCGATTGGGCGACTCCGTTGGTTTATTGTTGTTATTATTGTTATCATTCCCGCCGCCGCGGTGTAATCGGGCCCGGGGAACAGATCCGCCTGGTGGAGCGGGGTGAAGTTGACAGCCTCTGAACAGCCAGCTCTCGGTGGCGGGTGCCCCGAGCGGCCGCGTCAGCACGAAGAGCAGGTGACGGCCCCGGTGCGGGTCGTCGGCCGGGGGCCGGAGCTGCGGCTGCGGCTCGGGTCTGGGACCGGGGAGGGCCGCGTGCCGATGCCCGGAGGAGGCTGGGGGCGGGGGGCGGGGAAGGCAGGTCCCGGGGACCGCGCGTCTTAGCCGGGCGTTTCGCTCCACAGCCGTTCGGCACGGTCGGGGTCCGAGCCCCTAGTCCCGGGCGGCGCTGACTCTGTCAGCTTTCGGGGAGTTTCAGGTCGCGGCCGGGGGTGGGTGTGTGCGGGGAGGGGCGCGGCGTGCAGGGGGAGGGCTGACCGGCCGCACCGCCTGCGTCCCCGCCCCGGAGTGAGGCGTCGCCTCCCCGCCTGCGGTGTGTGCGCCGTGTACACCGCGCTTAGTGTCGGGCTGGCCTCGGCGACTGGGAGAGGGCATGGGGGAGACCCTGGGGTCGTGTGCTGCCATCATTCGTGCGGGAGTCTCCGGCCTTCAGTGCTGCTGACTCGCACGGGCTCTCCCTCCGCGCCCCCGACCCGGCGCAGCGGCGCCTGGGAGGGGGGCGGTCGGCCCGGCAGGGAGGAGCCACGGCCTGCGCGAGTCGCCCCCGCCCCGCGTCCGCCAGCCAGACCGGCTCGTTGACCCTTGCACCAAGGCGCGCTGGGTGCGCGTGCTCGCGCGCGCGCGCGCGCCGCCGCCCGCAGAGATCCTGGAGGGAGCGCGCCCCGCGCCCCCTCCCAGTCTCGGGTCTGGGGACTGTCGGGCCACTAGTCTGCCCCACCGCGCCAGCCACCACCGCAGGCTGCAGCCCAGCGCTCAGACCCTGCGGCCCGGGGCTCAGTTCCGGGCCTGGGGGCCCTGCAACCTAGCAGGGAGCTGCGGGAGCTTCTGGCAGGGCGAAAGTGACAGAGTAAGGGCGCCGCCGCCGCGGGGCGGGAGCGGGGAGGAAGGAGCCGCCCTAGGCGCTGCTGGTCTGGGCCACAAACCTCAGGAATCCCGGCTCGGACGGAGCTCGGGCAGGCGATTGCCTCGCTTTCAGGAAAACTCAGGAAACACGGGAACAGGCAGCACCGGAGCCGCCGGGGTTGCCTGAGGAAACTCCCGGGGCCTGTCTGAAGCAGGATTAGATTTACACACAGATCATCTGTCCGCTGGGTCGGGTGTCTGCCCTGGATAATGCATGTGCGGAGGCAGTAATTTTGTAACGCATTCCGGGGTGTCGTGTCCTCAGTGGTGTACAGATTGCTGGAGTAATAACATGCTTGTCTGTCTATGGGGAGGATCCCCCCAACCATCACCACCTATTACTGCATTTATTACCAGGGTCCTCTGGGCGGGGGGAATATTAACCCCGTTTTACAGATGTGCACATTGAAGATCAAGGGCACTACCTTCTTCCTGGTTTGGGATTTCCCTTCCGGGGAGCTATGCCTGTTATTTAAATAGGAGTGATCCCTTCTTTAGCAAGTGAATTCTTGACATCAGCAGAGTGGTGAACCTGAGAGAAGGTGGACCCTGCTCATGCATATCCTTTGTGTACTTTGGGGTTTGCTAGCAGTTTCTGGGGAGAACAGTTGTTCAAGAGCGGAAGTCTGCAATGCTGCTGTCACTCAAGTACTCATCTGCTGCTGGAGAACGGAAGTCAGCTTCTAGGCATCCATGTATTCATAGACTACATGTATGTGATACACGTGTGTGCAAGGCATGCCTGTGTCCATGTGAGTGTGTTCATGAGTCCTTATTGAATCCAAGGCGAATTTTTGTTTTTAAAGATTTATTTATTTATCTGAAAGGCAGAGTTACAGAGAGGCAGTGGGAGAAAGAGAGAGAGAGAGAGGTTTTCTATCTGCTGGTTCATTTCCCAAATGGCTGCAACAGCTGGAACTGGGCCAATCCAAACCAGGAGCCTGGAGCTTCTTCCAGATGTCCCAGGCAAGTGTAGGGGCCCAAGGACTTGGGCCATCTTCTACTGCTTTCCCAGGCCATAGCAGAGAGCTAGATAGAAAGTGGAGCAGCCGGGACTCGAACTGGCACCCACATGGGATGCTGGCTCTGCAGGTGGCAGCTTTACTTGCTATGCTGCAGCGCTGGCCCCCCAAGGCTGATTGTTTAGTTACTGGTTTCAAAGCCGTTAGATTTTAATTTTTTTAAAATATTTACTTTTTATTTATTTGAAAGAGAGTGGGAGAGACAGAGATTTTCCATCCATGGTTCACTCCCTCAAATGACTGCAAAATCCAGGGGAGGGCTGAAGCCAAGAGCTTGGAACCTCCATCTGGATGTCCCATCTTCCTCTGCTTTCCCAGGCACATTAACAGGGAGCTGGATTGGAAGTGGAGCAGCTGGAACTTGAACCAGCAATCATATATGGGATGCAGATGTCACAGATGGCGGTTTAACCGGCTGTACTACAACACAGGTGCCAGCCATTGGATTTACAATGTGGGCCTCTGAGAAGCCATTCCAGATTAGACTCCCTGAAGCCCAAAAGGAGCTCAGAGTTCAGGTACATGAAGGTTCTCAGAGATAGCCTGGAGGGGTGTTCAGATTGGCCATTCATTCACACCTACATGTTTGTGTATCTAGAAGTACACACAAAGAAGCTTTAACACATAGTCCCTGACATGTGCTTCATTCGAAAGACATATTCTACCTGCAGAGGTGAATGTCAGGGCTCAAGTCCAGCCCGGGTTGAGGAGGCTCCTGGAGACTCTACTGTGTGTGAGCTCACAAAGCTGGGGCAGCAGGAATAGGTTGTAGTACGAGAGTAGAGCTTACAGCAGAAAATGGGGCATAAACATTTTAGGGCACTCACCCCGGAACTTAGTTTCATACGTTGGTTGCAAGGGGTCCCTGGTGCTGGTTCTTACAGGGATGGGGAATATCTGGCCCGTGGGCCCTATAAGGCCCACAAAATCATTGGGGTTGGCCTTGCCAAGGCTACTGCAGACGGGACTTGGAATTCAATAAATCTGTGGCAGGCTGACTTTTAAGTTAGTAATTTTGTATGGCTGGTGAATGATGCTATAAACATCCCACATGGCCCTTTGCAGAAGAATGGTTCTCTCTGAACCCCCGCCCCCAACTGTTCCGAGTCAGCCCCCACTTCAGGCTGTGTGGACTGTCCCGGTGGGCCCAGAGGTGTGTCCTTGTGTAGCCTCAGGTTGCTGGGGGGGAATTACTCTGCTGGAGTCTGAGCAGTGAGCTTCTCCAGGCACGTGCTGTGATGTCCCGTGATTCCCCCGGGAGGCTGAGCCCTCCCTCCCGCCCACCCTGCACTGGGTTTCTGTCCTGCAGGTCTGTGTAGAAGTTTTCACAGGGGCCTGCTTTTTACCCACTCCCAGGCTCTCTTCTCCGATTCCTGTCATTGTCCTCCAGTTTTGTACTGGTTTGGGGGTCCATGGGCCTTGTTTTCAGATCCTGTTGCTTGCAGTTCAGCGCAGGCGGGGGGTGCAGGAGGTGGGTGGTCAGGATGGAGAGCAATCCCAGAGCAGGGACGAGAGGTACAGCTAGCCAGGCAAGGTGTAGTTCTGAGAATTCCCCGCGCTTGACGACATTTCTGCAAAACTTCCCCATCGTGTGGCAGCCCTTCTTGGTGTTCTGAGTGGTGGGGGGTGGGCGGGGCTGGGGCCTGGACCCCCCACCTCTGGGCTTTGTGGCTCATGCTGAGCTCAGCTATGCACTTCCAGGCCTGGGTTTTCTGCTGCCCCCCTCTGCCCTGCCTCCTGCTGCAGGTGAGTTCAGGCCTTTTTTTTTTTTTTTTTTTTTTTGGACAGGCAGAGTGGACAGTGAGAGAGAGAGACAAAGGTCTTCCTTTGCCGTTGGTTCACCCTCCAATGGCCACCACGGCCGGCGCTCTGCGGCCGGCGCACCGCACTGATCCGATGGCAGGAGCCAGGTACTTACCCTGGTCTCCCATGGGATGCAGGGCCCAAGCACTTGGGCCATCCTCCACTGCACTCCCTGGCCACAGCAGGCCTTCTCCCTGCGCTATCACCAGGCTGATTTACTGACCTCTGCCTGTGTCTCAGGTAAGCCCAGTTGAGCTGTGGTTCTTTTATTTATTTATTTATTTATTTTATTTTATTTTTTGACAGGCAGAGTGGACAGTGAGAGAGAGAGAGACAGAGAGAAAGGTCTTCCTTTGCCGTTGGTTCACCCTCCAATGGCCGCTGCGGCCGGCGCACCGCGCTGATCCGATGGCAGGAGCCAGGAGCCAGGTGCTTTTCCTGGTCTCCCATCAGTGCAGGGCACAAGCACCTGGGCCATCCTCCACTGCACTCCCTGGCCACAGCAGAGAGCTGGCCAACCGGGACAGAATCCGGCGCCCCGACCGGGACTAGAACCTGGTGTGCCGGTGCCGCTAGGCGGAGGATTAGCCTAGTGAGCCGCGGCGCTGGCCGAGCTGTGGTTCTTAACAGGTGAGGATGGACGCGTCCTGGGGCTGTGTCTCCCAGAGCTGGGGTGGGGCTGGGGTGGGGGGCACAGGATCTGATCTCCGTGAGAAGGCCCAAGGTTCAGAGGAGGGAAGTGACTTACCCAAGGTCCCTGTGAGCCCCTGGCAGAGTGGCACAGGAAACCCTGCGTCTTCTGTCTCTACACCAGGATGCCTTCTGGAAAAAAGTTGAGTCCTTCATTCCCTAAGGGTGGGACCCCTCCTTCTTGCCTTTTCTCTGGTTCTGGGAGAAGTTTTAGGGTTCCCCTTTCCCCCTTGAGGATGCTTTCCTTTAGGACTGGCCTTCTTGCCTTATCTTGCACCTTTGGCTTCCAGCAACAGAGGAGTGAGTCTCTGGGAGAGGAGATGGGCTTGGGGACTCTGGCACTCGGAAGAGTGCTCTGGGGCTTTCCAGTCTGCGGCAGGGTTCTCAGGAGTTCCCCGGAAGTGTTGGCCCAGGTGTCGTATGTTTTTCTAGAAAGAGTAGAAATCATTCGATTCTCAACTGACTCAAGGAAGGACCCAGGTACTGCAGGGGAGAACAGTAAGGTTGGGTAGGGTTTGGTTGGCAAGGGGGACTGTGACAATACCCTACATGTGATTCAGCTTTACATTTTGCAAAATATCGCACGCGTGATCCCATCTGCCCTTTATAATAAGCTGCCACCATTATTACCATTTCGCACATGGGGAAGTTGAGTCTGTGGTTGTTGACAGGGCTCTGCACCCTGACATTCTGACTTCCAATCCAGTGCCTGGAGCTTGAACCTTTCAGGTCTTCCTTGTGTCTGCTGTTGACTCAAATCTAGCGGCAGAGCCAGACGCAAATGCCGACTTGCCCAGGAGCGGGAGGGATAAAGGAGGCCGTTTCAAAGCCATGATATGTGGAATGGGGTCACCTTGAGATGATTTTGTGGAAGAGGTGAATTTGGGAGCAGGTGGAGGAAGCTTTCAGCTGGGACAATGGCCCACAAGTACTTAAAGGGGACCTGTGTGTTTTTGGGGTGGGATGGGGCAGACCACACTGGTGTGGCTGATGCTCCTGCCGTCAGCATGGACGTCCCTCTGTTGGGTTCCGTTGCTGTGCCTGGCACTGTGCTAGACCCTGAGATTGCAGTGAGCAGACACAGCCCCCTGTCCTCAGGAGCCCGCTGTCCGGTGGGAGACACAGACGCTTGGGTGGTTCGCTTCGTTGTGGTGTGGTGAGCACTGTGGTGGTGAAGAGCCAGAGCCCTGCAGCAGCACAGACAAAGCGAGCAGGATCTGGCCTCTGAGATCAGGGAGGGCTTCCCGAAGGAGTCAGGTCAGGAGCTGGATCTTAATGAATATAAGGAAAGCCAGGAGAGGAGCCCGGGGAGGGGCCCTGGGGAAGGGAGGGCAGGCCTGAAGGTGCAGGGGCACGAGGCAGCCTGGCTGGCGGAAGGAACCTGAAGCAGTGAGGTCAGATGCAAGGGCGGCCTGGTGGATAGCACTCA